ATCATGATTACACACCTATTTTCTTCCATCTGAAACATGCAGGTTTCATTTTCACACAAAGAACTTCTTTCAATCCATATCAACACATCTAGGGATGCCAGCGATGACTAAATTAGAACAACGAAAAATTTTAGTAGAGAGAAAGATCTAGGAGCGCAGAGTACCCCACCAATTGATCGTATCAACGGCAGCATAGCACGAGCAATCGATGATCGCCGCCTCACCTCGGTCGTCCCGGCTCCAGCCCGCGCGCCAAAACAGCGAGCTGTCGCGCCAAAAAAAAGGAATGGCGCCAGCTGTTTTTCCCGCTTAGTAGGCCGTGTTATTGGGCCAAAACATGCACGTGTGAAGGAGGTATTGCCTGGGCTCAGCTGCTTCGTCGGATGGCATTGAACGGCAGCAATGAAGTGACTGCCAGCAGCAGTCATGGAGACCGACTCCAGAGGATCTCGTTCCGGTGGATCTGCGAGGAAGAAAAAGTGGCTGAAAGAGGGACGAGATTGTTCCGTTCCTCCTCGGCAAGTCGGCGTCATCGATTCCTTGATGGCGAAGTATCTGACGCGCAAAGGTCAATCGGTGCACATGTGCAAGCGCGCAATCAATTAATTCGGCACACCACCAGCGCCGCCGCGTCAGTAGCCGGAAGGATCGCCAGACCTGTGCGTGTAGCGGATGGCGGAGGACGGCCGGAACCGGAATGGGGATGGAGGCGAGCGGCGACGGCGATGGCATCGACGTCGGCGGTCGGCCTGGCGGCTTGCGCACCTGGGAGGGAATATGCTCTGTGTCTTCTGCTTGTCAGGCTGTGCCGTTTGAGCTGTGAACCGTAAGGTTGCGGGCTTGCATCATAAGCTAGAAGTGTATCCGATCTCCTGCGCTAGGTGTGCGGCAGGCCAGTGACACTAACACCTAGTATGGCCCAAGCCGGCCAACTGGTGGCCCAGCCCGCCAACGACCACGCTCAACCCTTGATAGAATGTTGTTTAAAAAAACAGTTTTACTAAAATGGTACTCCATTAGTATAAGCTTGATGGTTTGTGCTGGCTGCAGCTGCATAGCATAGCACAGCAGCTCGCCTGCACACCTGCAACCTAACTAGTATTTTTTTTTATACTCAACTAGGCTCTACGGCCTTGCATTAATAAACTCACGCTCAGACAAATCACGAGCAGTGCAACGAATTACAAATTCAGAGAGGAGGTCAGCCCAAACACCAAACTGATCCGGGTCCCAACTCATACCCAACTTAGCAAGCTCGTGCGCAGACGAGTTACAAGATCTCGGAATGTTACTCACGCTAATACAATTGAAACTATCGTGGAGAAGATTACGGATATCAACAAAGATGCCGCCACCAATGGAAAGGTCCCTCGACGATGAAGTGATCGCCTCTCTCAGCTGGGGAGAATCAGTCTCAATGATGACTTGGGAAATACCAAAGTGTTCCGCTCTTGCACGCCATTGTTTCCGCCAGGAGAGGGTCATGCATCGGACCAACGTTTCCTGCCCCCGCAAGGACAGTAGCACCTTCATGGTTCCGGATAATGAAACCCCAGGCACCGGATTTCGACTCCTGCTTGAAAGCTCCATCTATATTTATCTTCAGAACATCAGGAGGCGGCGGTGACCAGCACTGGGAAACCTTGTGATCGGCGGTGTTACAGTTTGGGCACTAGCTATCTGTATGCACCATGCCATGGACAGCCCTCACCACCTCCTGGCTAGATGGCATAAGTTCACCGGCATTCACTTTTTTACAAGCATCCTACCATCGCCATAGCAACACCACGGTTGTAAGACAATCAGCCGGTCTCAACTTCAAGATTTTCATCACAAAATCATCTGCAGTCCAGGTGTGTAAGAGGCTGAGTCTAACTTGTTCAAGCCCCAGCTCCCTCCAACACTGCCGGACAGGTTTGCATTTCATAAAACAGTGCCCTCCATCCTCATCAAAGCGGAAACATACCGGGCATCTCGTATCCAACCGCACCCCTCTTCTGCTAATATTTTGTTTGAAAGCCAAGCTGTTATGTGCCACTCTCCAAGCAAATTGTTTGATCTTCGGTGGACCCGGCAATTTCCAAATTTTCTTCCATATATCACCGCCACCCCTATTGTTGGACAGTAATGAGGATTCACCTTTTTGCCTTACCTGCAGCAACTCGGCTTCATCTTCAAGGACATGGTAGGCGGATTTGACAGAGAAAACGCCTTTTTGATCAAAGTGCCAAGCCACAGTATCCTCCCTATCAATATGCACTGGAATAGCCAAAATATTCACCACGTCCTCCTCCCAAAAGAGATCCTTCACTAGCTCGGTGTCCCAAGAACCCGTATATGGATCAATCAGTTCGGATACCTTGGAAAGAAGAGTGCCGCCTCGAGGAGTTCTGGGCAGACGAGATGAACCTGTCGGAATCCAAGGGTCCTCCCATATGCGGACACTACTGCCATCACCAATTCTCCAAATGATGTCCTTTTCCATTGCTCGGAGACCCCTCACCAAGCCGCGCCAAGTATATGATATTCCAGGGCCCTCCTTTGCTGCCCACAAGTTTCCATCGGGCCAGTACTTCGCTCTCAGTAAACGAGCACACAAGGAATTTGGGAATTGGACAAGCCTCCAGCACTGTCGGGCGAGCATTGCGAGATTGAACAAATGCAAATCACGGTACCCCAGCCCTCCCTTCTCCTTACGGCTTGATAGTGTTTGCCAGGAAAGCCAATGCAACTTCTTCTCATTCTCTTGTTGTGCCCACCAAAATCTGCATATAATCGTGCTAATCTCATCGCAAAGAGACTTGGTGAGATCAAAGCAAGACATAGCATAACTTGGGATCGCCTGTGCTACAGCTTTGATTAAAGTTTCCTTCCTGGCTCTCGACAATAATTTCTCTTTCCAACCTTGAACACGTTTCCAAACTCTATCTTTCAAATAGGCAAACATTTTGGACCGAGATCTGCCCATATACACAGGTAGTCCTAGATACTTGTCACTCTTAGCTTCTTGAGATAAATCTAGGACCGACATAAATTTTTGTTTCTGCACTTGGCCACAATTCTTCCTGAAAAGAACCGAAGACTTATCTTTGTTAATAACCTGCCCCGAGCATTCCTCATATAGTTGCAGCACGTGTCGCAGATGGCTTGCATTCCCTTCATCAGCTTTTAGGAGTAGCAAAGAATCATCCGCAAACGTACAGTAGATGAGTTATACTCGGTGCATATTGACATATAGTAACACCCTCCAAACTTCCTCCCCTCTCCGCTGCATTTAACAATTCCGAAAACCCTTCAGCACATATAAGAAATAAATATGGAGATAGGGGATCTCCCTGCCGCAATCCACGCGTGGGGGTAATTTCTTCAGTCAATTCACCATTCACCTTAATCTTGTATGACACTGTTGAGACACATTGCATGATCAAATTGACCCATCGGCTATCAAAACCCATTTTCTCCATCATTCTTGTTAGGAACGGCCACTCCACCCTGTCATAGGCTTTGCTCATATCAAGTTTCAAGGCTGCATAGCAGTCCCCACCACCTCTCTTGTTATGTAGAAAGTGTGTCAGCTCATAAGCAACTAAAACATTATCTGTAATAAGACGCCCAGGCACAAAAGCTTCGAAGGTTGTGTGAAATTATCTCAGGCAGTATCAATTTTTGCCGGTTGGATAAAACCTTAGAAGCGATTTTGTACAGTACATTGCACAAGCTAATGGGCCTGAGATCCTTCAGCTTCTCTAGATTCGGCACTTTTGGAATCAGCACCACAATTGTTTCATTCCATTGTTGTGGCAGCCCACCACCATTTAGAAAGTGTAGCACTTCTGTAGTAATGTCCTCCCCGACCGTGTTCCAATACTTTTTAAAGAACAAGGATGTGCCTTGAGATCTCCTATAGCATCAAGCCCTACCTTCACCTCCTCTGCTGTGAAAGGACGAAGCAGGGAGTCATTCATCTCACTAGAAACCTTGGGGGCTATATGCATCATCAATTCTTCCATACGCGAGCCTGCAGTGGTGGTGAATAGATGTTTCGAAAAGTTACAATCAGATTCATAATCTCCCCCTTCTCCTCCACCACCGCACCCCCATCCGTCACCAGCTTCGCTTTCGCTCAGAGGTATATTGGTGGAAAAAACGCGTACTGCCATCACCCTTATCCAGCCAATGTGCCTTCGCTCTTTGGCGCCAATACAGGTTCTTTTTCTCCTCCAACTTCTCAAGTTTGATCAGGGCAGGAACTTGATGACAAAGCGATCGTTCGTCTACTCTTCTACCTAAGGAGCACTATCTTTGGATTTATCGCCACCACTACTAATGAAGGCATGGGGTGAGGATAGTGAGTTCGCGACAGATGCCACACTAGATTGGAACACAGAGAGAGGATGAGAGCTAGAAGAGAGAGGGAGAGTGTAGATGGAGCGCTACAGACTAATATGGGGAGCGGGTTAAAACTATTTTGAATCTAGATGACACAACAAGACAAGTTGGATGACCTAAAATGAATTTTTTTTGAGTTTTGGACCTGAATGACATCTAAGACAAGTTCGGCTAACTAAAAATGATGTTAAAGAGTTCATGGACCCGGTGACACTACAAGACATGTTTAAGGATTGCTCGTGCATTTTACTCTTTTTTCTTCTTTATCAAATAGTCAATGTGTTTCTAGCGTAATATGGATATCTTTTCAATAGTGAAGATAAGTCACCAACAAACATTAGAGCAACTCTAGTGCAGTCTTGGCAAACTGAGGGAAAGAGAAAAGCCATCATGGTTTTCAATAATGCGTACACGAAATCTCCATAAATCAAACCCAGAAGACGGTTTGAAACTATCGCAATGAGCGTACGGCGACCGGCGAGAGGAGCACACTCGAGAAGACCCTCTCATGAGAATTACAGCGTGTTTGGTTTGCTGATTCATTCCATCCGGCATCAGATGGACCCGCTGAGAATAGAATGGGTTCGTCCGACATTTTTTTGCGGAGTGAGTCAGTCCTCTACGATCGCTTGCAATTTAATTCTACGGGGAATCAACTGAGCGAAGTCACTACTCACCACTCTTCTCCTACATTCTTCCAGCTTTTTTCTTGTATTTTTTATACTCTTCTCCAAGTTGCCGAGGACATTCCTCCCCCAGTCACCTAGCTCCCGTGCGACATTTTGAATGGCACCACCCACGTTATCTCCTAGCACCTCCATGGATGTTTTCCAGGCATTCTCCACAATGGTTGCATACTGTTCTTCTTCCACCCAGCTCGCCTCAAAACGAAAAGGTTGCGGGCCCCTTCTACCGCCATCGCATCGAGACGGGATGGTGTCCACTATGACCGGACGATGATCAGAATGGCGTGGCTTTCCATTGATCACCCAGTGCAAGGGAAATCTTGCCATCCACTCATCATTAGCCACAGCCCGATCCAGACGATCCCTGATGTAGTGATTGCTAGTATGACTATTGTTGCGCCATGTGAAGGGATCTCCCTCAAAACCCAAATCCGACAAGTCACAATCCTCCAAGGCTTCTCGAAAATTATCCATACAGCCCTGCTTGCGTGCTGGCCCTCCTTCCTTCTCACACCCCAATAAAATTTCATTGAAATCGCCCAAACACAACCATGGCCTCCTCCGCGCTGCATTGAGAATGCGCAACGCTTTCCATGACAAAGACATCTTCTCTGGCTCGCCATAGAAGTCAGTGAGTCACCACAAGAAACCATCCTCCTCCGTCACCTCAGCATCCAGATACATACGCGAGATACCTTGCACATGTAAATTGATCCCATTCCGCCAGAAAATCGCAAGACCACCGCTGCGCCCCGAACAATTCTTCACAATCATGTTCGTCAAGCCCAGCTTCCACCTCAAACCATTAATCCTACTCTCATCCATTTTTGTCTCGGACGAGAATAGGACATCGGGGTCCTCCTCCTTCTGAACATTCAGAAGGCCTCGAACTGCCGCGCCGTTCCCCAACCCACGACAATTCCAAGCTATTATCTTTATTGGGACGCGTAGGGCTATTCCGATGCCCCGCTTCATTGGAAACAGTGGTCACCTCCTTTTCCTCCGAACTTCCCTGCTTAGCCTTCTTTGCATAAGCCTGCTCATCAAGGTCCATGTCCGTCAACTCCTCACCACCTCTCTTCTTCTTCACAGACTTCTCCGAGCTCCTCACCCCCACCGTTTCCTTCTCATCCCTCTTCGTCCTCCTGAATTTGCATGCAGCTTTATCTTTCTCTTCTCCCTTCTCCATGTTAGCTGGAATGTCTTGCACGTGCTGCATGGTACTGTTCACGTTCAGCTTACTGTGCCCGCTGCCATGCACCGTCCAGGGAATCCCCTCAGTCTCCTCTCTGTCCTTCTTCTCTTTGACCTCCTTCACACTCCCCTTCCCCTCATCCTTCCTCCAAGAGATACCATCCGCCCATGATTTACCACCACTTTCCCCACTATCATATTTCCCTCCTCTCCAGGACCCTGAGCCTTCACTACCTCCACGAAACTCCTTGTGACAGAACCGTCCGAAATAACACACTTTCGGAGGCGCTCATCTTCCACCAGACACTAAGCACCCCGAAAGCAAGCTACATCGGACGGTTCCGTCGAGCACACCCCAAGGGAGAACTCGAATAATCCACGTTTTCCTCCAGGATCCAATAATGAGAACGAGTTTACAATATTTAGTCCATTTCATACAACAAGAGTTCTTAGAAATATATTATTACAATACCAAGTTCAGAGTGCGGAATTAAAACAATGGAATTACAATAAACGTCTAACGATAAGATACAAGAATCCGTCTGTGCCCACCAGAAGAATCCTCCACACAACAGTTATTCGTCAAGCTGCACCTGCAACAGGGGTAAATAAACCCTGAGTACACAATGTACTCGCAAGACTTACCCGACCAGTGGGAATAATTTTCCGACTCCAAAGGATATGATAAGTTTTATGGTTTGCTGGGTTCCCTTTTTGCAAAAAACATTACTAGTAGTGAATCCTTATGCATGTATTTTATTAGCAGTCATGATTAATTCATTAGCTAACCATTCTAGGTAAGCACCTGTTCTACTTTCAAGCAAGAGTTGAGTAATCAGATCGATTCATACCTTTCATCTTTCATTTCTTACTACAGTGCTAGATCGTAGACAAGTCGTACCATATTACATGGCAATTCGTGAACTAATGTAGCCCAGCTGGGTATTCCGAAACACACGCCCCGCTTAAACCCTAGGCACAAGCAGGACCAACCCACCACTCTCCTGTCAAGGGGTCTAGGTCCCTGTTCAAACTTGGACTCCAAGCCCCCACATCTGAGTTTCGGACTTAGTGTGGTGCTTAGACCTCCACCATCCCCGCCTCCAATCAGTTGGTCCAGAAAGAGCCGGAACCCACGACAAGAGAGTAACGAGCCTTCTCTGCTCCCATAAACAAGTACGTGCTCAGGATAATAAGTCTGTGACCTGACTAGAATCCAATGCAACGACCGGTCCTTAATCGACACGGAGAGGGAAAACAGTGTAACCAAGCTATGCCCCGTTGGTCGCGGGACACAACCTCTTACACCCACCAATACCCGTACCATATCCCTGCCCGGTCTCCATTTTCTTTTCACCATTTATCATGAGAGTGATAATAATAATCACCTATTGCGAGTAACGGCAGGTTACTCATAGTACCGATAGCCTAAGCATAGCAGCTGCTCGACCTATGCTAGTAGGACTCATAGGTAGGTTTATCTATGCATGTAGTTTCAACCATAAGCCTGTAACGTAAATGCACATCACATATATATATCCAGTGATTATTCAAAATAAGGGTTATGCACCGGGGCTTGCCTTGGGCAGATGGGGTGTCAGCTCAGTCAGTCAGTGGCGGCTCTGGGACCTTCTCCTGCACGAGGATCTCCTCCTCGTACTCCTCGATCACCTCCTCGAACTCATGATCTCTAATGGTCACAATCCCCGCCAACTCGTTCTCTATGTGCATACGATGATAATGCAACACTTAGCATTTTGGCAACAACAATTTTTAAAATAAGAATACACATGCTAAGTTATTAAGCTAGCTCTAATGACTAAGGTACTAAGCTAATCATTATCTCTACCAATTAGATTTCAAGCTTACCCTACAAGTGCTTAATTTTTATAAACCAATATCATGCCATTATTCATTTAGTCTTAATGGGTATTTAGCTACCATATTAAATAGTCTATTTTAAGGCTAGAAAAATTACAATGAGCACATAATAATGCCATGAAGCTACTGTAAAAATTTCAAGGCTAAAACTATCCCCATTTTGCCACAAAAATTCCTACAATAATTAGTTTGATAATATTAAGTACTCTCAATCGATTTAATAGCTCCTAAGGTTAACACATATAAGCATGAACTTAATACACCAACGGATAGAGCATAATTTAGGAACCTAACAAAATTAGTTTCACAATTTTTCGATACATACATGATTTTATATTAATTTTCAAAATTCAGCTCAGAAATTAAAATATAAAGCTATTTCTAATTCCTTAAGAAAAGGAAAAACGAATTCCACCCACGCGGCCCACCGCCACGCGGGCGCGGCCCACACACGCGGCCCACGCACACAGGCCGGCCCACGGCGGAAGGGAGCCCGCACGCGCGACACTTTTGCAAAAGCGCCCTTACTCTTCCTAGTATTAACGTCGCTCTTATGCACACTATTCCTACAGTCGGGTCCTTTGCCAAAAGGCCCTTGCCCCCAATCATCTTTACATCCGACCGGTCCCCAACACCCCCGTGCTCACCGGCGTGGTGTCAGCTGGCACGGGACCACCACGCGGGGCAACCGGGGGCCCCTCCGACTCACCTAGGAGGCCGACCCCACCTATGGGACGACGCGCAACTTCGGCCAGCGGTTGGATGAGCCAGGACACAGTAGAATGGCCTCTCCACGACGACGAGCACCCTACGGCGGCGGCAACCAAGTTCCAGTGAGCTTCGACCTTACAGAAATGGTAGAGACAGCGGGTGAGTACCAATGACTCACCACAAGCCTACCTGTGGAGATGGTTCAGCCGGAGATGCCCCGAGCAGGGTTGGCCACGTGCGACAGTGCCTTCCAGTGGCACTCCGTGGTGGCACGGACACGTCAGCGGCGAAGTGAGGGCAGTAGCGGTTGGACAGAAGCGTGTAGGGCGAGAAGGAAAGCAGTGCGAGTGCAGTGGCGCAAGCAATTGGACGTGGGTGGAGGAATTGAGGCCTGGCCCCGGTCATGGCCGGGATGCGGCCTTAACGGCACTCCGGAGGGAAAACACCAAATTGGCGCCTGGCCAGGCCGCCATTATGGCTGTGCGGATTCGGTTGGCGATAAGACGGAGGGCGAAAGTGTAGTCGCCATTAATTGCTAAAATGTGACCGCCTACTGGCTCACACGTGGCGCGACGCGGCGGTGAGAACAGAGGAAGAGGAAGAGATGGTGCAGCAGGGCACCGCTCGGCTAGCCTTGGCGGCAAGCGGAACGATCGGACCACGTGCGTGTGCGGGATGGACAGGCATGGCGGGGCCTATGCGGGATGGACAGGCATGGCGGGGCCTATGCGGCCATTGAGGCAAGGCGAGCATGGCCGAGGCATCCCACGTGCACGCGGGGGAAAGCGAGCGCCCGCAACGCAGCGGGCAGTGAGAAGGCAGTGCAGCAGTGCACAAATTGCGACGGCAAGGTAACGACGCTGGCGTGGCTCCACCGTGGCATGGGCGGCCATGCAGCGGGGCAGCATAGCGAGCAGGCAGCGTCATGCCTCACATCGCAAGCGATAGCAGCAACAGCCCCACACTACCGAGCTAAGGTGGCCAGGACGGGGCAGCTGAGGCCAGACAAGCGCGGCAGCGCGCGCACAGCCGAGCTCAGCGACACCGAGGCTCTGCGCGACAGTGACAACGCCCACACGTCCAGGCAACCGAAACAAGTGCCGTGCATGAATTTTCAAGCGTTCGACACGGCCAAACGGTTGCTCCTAAACCTAAATTGTCTTCACCATGCTCAAGATGGCACATGACACTACCAAATCAAGCTATAAGACTACACCATCCTTTAACCCAATCTCTCATAATAAATTGCTAAACATAGCAATGTCTAGCTATCGACAGACTTGAAAATTTCTAAGTTTTTGAGCTGAATTTGATTTCCATTTACGATTTCTAAGCTAGCGGAAATATTAGCTAGTAATATCATTTTTCGACCGCAAGTATTTCACTGTCATCTACAAAGTTTGTACCTCCAACTTTATTAAGGTGACATATATGTGTTCTATAGCATTTTTGCTTAATAAAAATTGGTTTTCAACCTTAAGTGATATAACATGACTGTTGAATCAACTTTCATTTCGCATTTTAGTTGATCGTTTCGAGTTACAGAAATTGATCTATACACTTTATTACATGCATTAACACATAAATATGATGCCCATGACATGTTTTAGTAAATGATTTACGATGTAACACCACACCAAGGGTGTTACACTCCTGCAGCTTGTGGCCGTACCCGCTGAACGACCTACGAGGTGGTACAAAACGCAGCTCCCCGCTAAATGGAACAGGCTCATCCTTCCCCAGCTTCTTAGAGCAAGGGCGATCGACGTGCCCAATCCTCCCACAGATGTAGCAGAAATCAGGCAGGTGCTCATATGTGATCGGGCACCACCGTTCTCCTTTGTCCGCACCCAGATCCGCCAAAATTCCACATCGAAGAGGTTTTTGAATATCGAGCCGGATCTTGAGACGGAGACTTCTGCCCGCCGCCACAACACCTCTGTCTGCCTCCACCTCCATGAACTCCCCCACATCATCTCCAATCACCTTAGCCGCCACGCGATTCATGAGACCCATCGGGAGGCGCTCCACCCGCATCCAGATCGGGATGAAGGAAAAATCGACCTCGTCCAAGGATTTGGACTCATCAAACTCCGTCACCGCCAGGAGTTCCTTCGAAATCATCCATGGACCATCGTCTAGCACCTTCCTCAACCCCGACGCCTAGTTGAAGGAGATCAGGAAGACATTATCTCCATGATCCTTGCTTATGACCCCCTTCGACGGACACCAGATCCACCCCACCGATTGCTCAACTGCCTCAGGTTGGACGCTCCTCTATGAGAACAGCTTTGCAACCGCTTGGGGAGGACGATTGCTCCCTCCACCCTCCGTCTTCACTCCGAACTTGATGCTCCTCCTCTCCTCCGACGAAAGCTGCAACTTCTTCATCAGCCCCTCAACTCCCTCCATGGCCGCCTCCAAAGACACCAACAAGATTTACATAAACCAATGGTGATCCGGGAACAGGTGGACACGAGGAGCAGGCTAGCAAAAACTAGGGTTTTGGGATTTAGGTGGACACTTAGAACAGAAACACGTGCACCCACTGATCCAAGGGAAGGATCGGATGCAGGCAACCTAGACTGCGATCACCAAGGCTGAACGCACTCGTAAATCGAAGGAGAAGGAAGGGAAACGAGGGAGATCCGGATGCTGCTGCAGGAACCGCTCGAGCTGCCTAGGAGAGCCCTGAGACAAAACGACGTTCCCAGCGTCCACATTTGGGAAGATTAGTTTCCTCTTAACCTAACTAGTAGACGCTATGTATAGTTCCTACCACAAAAATACTATACATTCCCATTTCCCAGCCTCATTAATAAAAAACCTTGAAAAAGACTGCAACGGCAAGGTTTCATACACAAGGCCTCAATTCCATTGCAGGCACCCCCAAAAATCAAACTACACCCATTTTTTTTGTGTGCCACTGGTACCAAAATGAAACGGTTGCAGCAGACCGTGCCAAAGCTTGCTAGTTTATTTATTCATCCATTGGTTCATGCAGGCTCTTTGATGGATCCCGTGAATCTCAGAGGCGGGCCCAATTGCTCTTCAGTGCTACTGTTTTTATATGGACTAAAGTCAAGATCTCAACTGTCGTTCGGATAAGATTGGAGTTAGCATAGTATTAAATCAAATCGTCTATAGTTGAGGCCTTACAAGGACTAGTTCATTTTCACAGAAAAATTCCAGCATTTGAAAGGAGAGCCTTATAAAATTATTTATTTTATGATATTAGATAAGTATGGTTAGATTTGTCAGAGAATATAATTATATTTATCTGACATCATAATATCACTCTCTTTTTTATATACTTAGCTTGATATAAAAAAAACTATACGTAGTTTGACTAAAGACATAACTAAACTTGCATCTTTTTCAGGATGGACAACAATAGATGTAAGTGATGAATGTGCTCACGCAGACATAATTAAAAAATGTGTCCAACTCCACCCTGCCTACCCTGCCTTGGATTCGATGTACTCGTACTTTATCTGAGAATTTGCGCGCTCCTAAGTTCATTTTAAATCTATGTGGTACAATGATAATCTTATCAATAAAACTAGTGCTCCATAATAGTTAATAGACCCTTATAACTTGTTAGCAGGAGTTGTTGAACCACGACCAAAAGTTAGACCAACACTGATTAAACTAGAGACTGTAGCAGTACATACAGTGGCCCCGTTCGCTTGTCTGAAAAAGAAGCCAAAATACTATTCCGGCTGATTTGTTGTGAGAGAAAAACACTGTTCCGGCTGAAAAAAGAAGCCGAACAAGCCGGATTTTAAGACAAGCGAACGGGGCCAGTATGTTTGGAATAACAACGGTAATGCCGCCCTAATGTTTGCAATTCGATAGCACTTTAGTCTTCTGCGGCTCTCGAGGGGGGAAACTAGCATGTTGATGCTACTCTTTTGAGGCGTCCTTTTCATGCCTCTCCTTCTGCCTTGCTGGCATTTGGGGGTGAAAACATTCACATATTATTGGGCTAGCATTGTGGCTCCCGCCTTTGGTGTCATCTCCCTTTCGGAAGGCTGCGCTATGCGTCTCAAGCTCTGCTCTCCCGCTCTTGCTTGACCATGGTGGTGCACGAGTTCTACATGCGGCTTTGTGAGTATTATTCGACAGCTTGTCGACTGGTGCCCTTATAGCTTTAGTTATTAGGCAGTTGTTAACATATTTTGTGTTGCTAGTTGGGTCGTTTCAACCATGTTATGGTGCTAGTTGAGTCTTCTCGACCAAGTTGAGGGGCTATTGGGTCACTTTGACTAAGTTGGCTAGATGAAGTTCATTGGAGCGGGTAGTGACGTGAAATTATCAGTGGTCTGATCTGTGTACTAAGTCGTATGGGATGAGTAGCGTACTATATTTGGTTGTGTGGCTTTAGAACCGGCTTCCACTCAAAAAACTTGATCAACACTTGTTTTTCTTTTTCTTCATTTAACAAAAATCGTAATAAAACTTTTACCGTCTTTTCTTAAAAAAATGAGATGACGGCATCAGTGCTGTGACACTAACCTTAGCCTAGGCGCCTAGCCCAGTAGAGACTTAGTATCCTGTAATTGTAACAAGACAAAGGCTACGTCCACGGTGTTTGTGCCTAAATTCCAAGGTCTGCGTCTCTCAAGTCCATGGGGGTTTGGTGCGGGCAGATCGGGGCCGGCCCGGCTGCTGGCCTGGTCAGTGCGGCTTGGCGCGTAGTACGTGTGTGATGGTGGGAAACAGGTAGAGCCAATGCGATGTAGACCACACGACACGATGCCCAGGTAGAGACAGGACACAGTTAGCATTAAGTTGCCTATTGACCGACTCACACGGTCACAACAAGACACCAACCAAAACCATGATGCCGAAGAGAGACAAAGCTAGAATACGACGCGCTGCACTAGCTAGTTCTGCACATGACTATAGACTAGATGGTCAAATTTTAATCGCTTTTTTTCCTTTCCGACAAATATAAAAAAATTTAGGCCTTATTTAAATCTAGCGTATAAAGTTTTTTTTTTTACATCGGATGTCACATGGGTGTTGCATGTGGTGTTCAGATACTAATAAAAAAACAAATTACAGAATCTGTCGATAAGCAGCGAGAAGAATTTATTAAGGCTAATTAATCCATTATTAGCGCATGTGTTACTGTAGCACCGCATTATCCAATCATGGACTCATTAGGCTTAAAAAATTTGTCTCGCAAATTAGTCGCAAACCGTGCAAATAGTTATTTTTTTAATTTATATTTAATACTTCATGTATATGTCCAAACATTCGATAGGACGTGGAGTAAACTTTAGGGAGAAGAATTAAACAAGGCCTCATTTGACTTTGAGTGATGTGGTTCTCATTCTCTGCATTCGTCGTTTCACTTTGGTACTCACTGCGGATGCAGGATCGCGGGGTAATAATGCACCATGATTCTTATTAATTCGGTGCACTTTAGCACTCGATTGAGCTAGCTCTTGCTGCTCCAGATTCTTAATTGGGAACTGATGCTTCCCGTATACAAGTGGTTAGCTATCGTAAAATGATTCTTATTGTCGGTGTTTCGTACAAGCACCGGTAAATAAATTTATAGTAACGCGCGTTAGGCTCGGATGATGCGCTAAAAAACACAAGATTTATACTGGTTCGGGCTGAATATCCATACGTCCAGTTTGTTGCTGCTCGTATTATTAGCATCGTGAATGGTTCGTAGTAGGGGATACAAACGATCGAGAGAGGGACATGTCCCAAGCCTCTGATGGAAGGGTCGAAAGGAAGCCAAGAGCTTGGTAGCAGCTTGACTATGTGTGTGTTGCGTTGTTTTTTTGTCTCCCCCTTACTGGAGGAAACGCATCTCCTTTTATAGATGAAGGGAACGGCTTTACAAGGGTTAGGACTCAGGATGCGTGCTCTACCTAGCCTTGTGGCTCACTTCTACCCAGCCTCGTTACCCATTCTGATGGTGCGAAAGGATGATAAACGCCTACAATACTATCGATGCTTCTGTAGAATGTCAGGATGGTTAAAGAATAGTGCCCTGCGCAGGGTATGGGCTGTAGTACAGTGGTTTTGACTTATGAACCTCGTCCAGCCTTGCCCCGCACGCCTTCTGGCTCCTATGAGTCTCTGTCGGAGGGACGCGGAGTCGAGGTCCGGAGTAGCGCTGTGGGCAAGGTTCTTTGATTTGGTGGACCTGAGGGGTTGGGAAGCGGGCGCCGCTCCCTTGGGTCCATAACGCGGTGACGGCATGTCCGTTATTCGTGGAGATCACAAATCCTTTTCTGGAGTGTAGTGGTTGTCGTGTATCTTCGTCGGGTTCCGTGTCCCAGAGCTGAAGGCGGCGCCTACAACTTTACAGGGCGAGGAGTACGCGCCTGCAATACCTTTTGGGCTCTGCGGCGCCCGGAAGGGTCTAAAGCACCTGTCCAGTTGTTCCCTGACAGTACCTTTCCTGCCGGGGCGCAGGGTATGGTCCTTGAGGCCGTGGTTGACCCGAACGTCTTGTCTGGTTCTGTACCCATCATCATGGGGGAACGGGAGAGAAGTTATTAGGTAAGATGAAACCAGTCTCTGGACATCGAACGGGGCGAGGTTCGTCCTCGGTCGTCGGGCGAGGCGGAGCCCAGTCCTTATCCCTTGGGCGTGACCGAGCCCACCCCTTGGGGGTCGGGCGAGGCGGAGTGTATCCCTCAACCCTTGGGTGAGGCGGAGACTAGCCTTCAGCCCTCGGGTGAGGCGGAGCTGTCCCGAAGGCGTCGGGTGGAACGGAGGCCAGCCCTTTGCCCTCGGGCGAGGCGTGGGTAGCCCAAAGGCGTCGGGCAAGATGGAACCTAACTTTCGCCATTCGGGCAAGGAACGCAGCGGCGCCCTTGTCCGTCCAGAAGTTTTTAACGTTCGATAGTTATTGGTTCCACCTTCTGGGGTACCCTGGTATTAGGTCCCCGACAGTAGCCCCTGAGCCTCAAGGTGATTCGGATAGAACCGCCTGGAGGGTGTTTTCGATTTCGTCGGAGTCATTTTGCTAGAGGGTGCGCGCGAGCGCACCCGATGGGTGTAGCCCCCGAGCCTCCAGGTGATTTGGATAGAACCGCCTGGGGGGTTGTATCGGACCCTTCGTGGGTAAGGCTAAAGGACTTAGTTTTTCGTCAATTGGGTATTTTTTCAAGGGGGTCGTGGTATCCCGTTCGCGGGGATCTCATTCAGGGCTGACCTAACTGGGGCTTGGCCTTGGATCGAGACCCCAGTAATGCTTGCGCCCTTGATTTCGGATCGTTCGCGGACCCGCCCTCAGTTGGGCCGGCCGTCGAGCTTCTGGGCCCTAGGTGGGCCAAATAGAAAAAATCTTTGTGACCTACCTTCCCCAGGGGGGAAGAGAGTCCGGATTCGCCTAGGGAAGGCGAACCGTCCACCGTGATTTTCGGTGGGAAAGGATA